TTTATGTATATGACTCATACAGAGCAGCAGGTCATAACTATCATGTTAGAGAAGAAATTCAAAAGCTTGCTCAGCTTCTGCCAATGTATGTTTCAATGGAGATTGGAAATGGTTCGGATGATGCAGAAAACAACCACATTGCATACGACGTGACGTATGTGGAGGATATATCTCAACAAGGATCAGATTTTTTGTAAGTATAAAACAAATCTCTTCGTTCAATTTTCCTAAAAAGTATCAGATTTTAAAAAGTAATGTATATTTTCAGGGATTGCGGGATATACTTGCTAGCATTTGTCGAGTACCTAAGTGAGGGTGAAGGTATTCCAGTTAAGTATCTTGATTCTAAGTTACACCGTATCACATACGGTGCACTCTTGTGGGAATATGCAATGAAAAAGATGAAAGACGGGGCTGTTAGCGATAATAAGGCACCACCATGAAGAATGAGGACACCCGCAAGGATTGATAATAGTCAACTTGTTGTGATTGATTAGTATTTTGTACTAGTTCTATTTTTTTTGAACTTATGGTAAAAACTAATATTTTGGTTTTTTGTCAAACATTATCAACTTTTATTTATATTCATATATGATCACATTAGTTGTTTTAAATTTATTTCTGTGTTATTTCATAATTAATGAGATGTTCATGACTTTCCATGATTCGGCTTTGACATCGGTGAATTAGTCAATGGCTTATCAGTAAAAAATTAAGTGACCCCATTTTTACATGTATAAACATGTCATCCATGCACATAACGACGCGATCCCACAAACAATTTTTAACAATCTACATATTGAGAATCAATGTCAAAATACATATACACTTGTACCAAAGAAATTGATTCCAAAATCTGTATCAAAGTAATACTTACATAAATAGCTATACTTACATAATTGATATCTTATTTAATAAATATTTTAAAATATTCAAAAGGCAAATAACTCATCATTCCTTTATTCAAAATAACAAAACTTAACTACAAGAACAATTTAATAGTGTCATGTAACAATTTCTATGCATTTCGTGTTGCAGTTCGACATGAACACCTATTATGACCTTGTTATCCACATGTACTACAAGAATTGGTACCCTTCCTTTTGCTCAGCTCGCTAAATGACTTTTCAAGTTGCTTTTTTGGCCTTCCTGGAGGTCGCTTGAATTTTGGTGGCAACACAACTTCGGTAGCAATGTGTTCAGGTATGTTCCATTCACCTTTGTCAGGTAGAGGATATATAGGGACTTCATATGTTTTCAATATTGTTCCTCGCTTATAAAAATCTGAACAATATTCTTCCGGAAGCATGCAATTTTTATTCAACACACTCCACGCATGTGAACACGGTATACCGTCAACTTGAAACATGTTGCAACTGCAAGTCTTTTTTTCAAAGCATACAATATAACTCTTCCCTTCATCACTTACGGAATAAACGTAATCAGTTGACGGGGCAACCTATAATCAATACAGAAATTCAATTATACACTTTAGTATTAAAGCAAATATCTTTGATTACTAAAATAAATGAATACACAATCCATTGAACAAGAATTTTTTTTCAATATACATACCATCATACGCCCCGATTTTGATTCATTAAGCAAAAGCATCTCTTGAAACTTCTTCCCAAGCAGTGTGAATGTGCATGATGCATTTTTTCGATTTGTGCAATTCCATCTAGAAACATCAATCGCACTTGTTCAAGAATGTCAAATATTGGTAATTCTCTTGCTGCTACTAACGTCGAATTGATGCACTATGCAATATTCGATGTCATAACCCAACCACGAGGAACTGGTGCATACAACCTTGCCCACTTCTCATATCCAACCATCTCCAAGTAATTCTTAACCCTTACATCAAACTGCTCAACCCTTTTCATTAGCTTATCAAAATCACTTTGAGTATATGCCTTTGCCATAGTATAGAATACTTCACTCAATTGATCATTTTCTTTTCGAAAATTCATACATACATTAGCCCACAAGTGCCATATGCAGGCGTAATGTTGGACATTGTTGTATACAATACATACAGCCTTAATTATGCTATTATGTTGGTCAGATACTACACACATATTCTCTCTTTCTCCATATGCTTCTTTGAATTGTTCAAAGAACCATGTCTAAGAAGCATCATTTTCCGAATCTATAACTCCATATGCCAAAGGTAATATATGCCCTATTATAATATACAAAAATAGATGAATAACAAAAAAATAAAAATAAATTAAATTGTATGTATGTATCCAAATACCTGCTTCATCCATAGTGCTTGCTGATACGAATGCACCAGTGTATGCTGATTTGAGGTGGCTGGCGTCTACAACAACAATTGGCCTGCAATGATCAAATCCCTTTATAAAAGCATCCAGCGCTATAAAAACATACAAAAATTCGTCATTAGGTGTTTTCTGCATTCGTATATGTGAACCAGGATACGTCTTATCCAACGTATACAAGTATCCTGGTAGCTTCCCGTAAGACACAGCTGGTTGCCCCATGATAGATTGTAATGCCTTCTCCTTTGATCGCCATGTCAACATGTAATTAATATCAATACCCAAATCCAACTTAATGTCATCTTTAATATCATTTGGACTGTACTTCCTCTTATGATTCCTCAATTTAAGTGCTATTATTCCTCCAATCAACGAACTTGTTGCACGACAATCTGAATGCACCCCATCCTTCAAGGGACATGTATGTTCAGAGTTAAAAACTCTAATTCTGAACATCTTTGACTTGTTAATACTTGACGCTTTCATTAACCACGTGCATTCTTTAGATTGGCATACAAGAGTATAACTTCGAATACCATTTATAGTTTGATTTTAGTTTTGAGTTGCATCTTCAAACATATATAAATAAACGTAATATGAATAAATTTAATCATAATTTACCTAATAGAGTTTGACCTCTCCACCATGAATTTAAACCTTTTTTCGATTGAATATTTTTCCATCACATCTATCAATGTCGACTTATCCATGTATATCTGATCCACTATTATCTCCTTTTGCGATCTGTTAGTGATTATTAAATCATTTTCAACATCATATGCATCTGTTGTTTGATCGCCAAATGCTGGTACAATTGCTAATGGATCATCCTCACTATTTAATTCTTTATTGTATTCAAGTTGCAACACATCACTTTCAATAGAAGTTTCTCCAGAACCAGAATATACAATATCAATATCGTAAATACTAACACACAAGGGATATACTCCAATTTGAGTATTCATTTTTTTCAACTGAACATATAGGCGCACACCCATGTTGTTATGTATTTTCATAGGCGTGTCGTCACCTTCGATAGTGTATTTAATCTTCATACACTTCTTTGTAAGATCAACGTTCAATTGTAAGGAAATCACATCAACTAAATCAGAATATGAAGCATATTCCTTCAATACAATCCGTCAATGTTGTATTCCACATAACAATGGTCATCGCTCCATTTTCCGGATTGGCGAATTAAAACACAGATTGTTGCCATTTTTTTCGTAATTTTTTTCCAGTAGTACAGTGTATAAGAACAGATTCTGCATATCTTCATTTTTTTATATGTTGACAAGAATCCTATTAAGGAAAGGTAACTTACAAGTTGAAAGTGCCAATATAGTGGGCTACAAAATAGAATTTTCAGTTACATTTAAATTCCAATGTATTTTTGTATTTTTGTATTTTTTTTAAAAAAAAATAGCCAATTTTTTAAACAAACTGTAGCTATTTTTTTTTTTAAATATGATAAATATAGTCATCTCAATCTAATAACCCTCAAACTATAGCTATTTATGTAAGTATTACTTTAATATTTGCCAAGTTCATTTATTTTGGAAAAAAAAAGTGTTACTGAAGATGTAACGAAAAGGTAGAGATAGTCCGTGGATCAAATTCAGTAAAATTCTCTATTAGCTATAAGCATTCAAAAACTCAAGTATTTATTTACAAAATTTTAAATTTAAGTTAAAATATAATATCAAACTCAGAAGTCATTAAAATAAAATATAAATTAAAATCAAAATCACCAAATTAATTCAAGATAAAGCTTTAAACCCTTAAAATCAATGGATTCATAGATATTAGAGTACCATCCACTATATATAAAATCAAATTTCACAATTATTACAATATCTTTCTATCTTGATTATTATTCTCTCCACATAAATATTATAGTGCATGTACAATAGCATACAAGCCTATTCCAATTAGTGATTTCTGATATTGTATATGTGCTCCATATTCCCTTTCCTTTTCCACTTCGGGTGAAGTCCATTTGTATTCTATTTTTATTCTTTTGCCAAGTCTATCTAAAAAGGATGTTTTGGCCATTTAAGACAATATCGTCCCAAATGTTTCGAGTAGTTGGGTCAATACTCATGACCAATTTAATTTGACCCACTTAATCTTGATAATCTTAACGTATTGTTACTTAAGTTTTATAATCTCTATTTGAATTTTAAATTAATAAAATAAGATAAAAAGTTACAACTGGATAGATAAACTCTAGATGATATAAAATAGGTACTAATTTAATTAAACCTTCGATATATTGACATATTATGTTAGTACAAATAAAGAAACAGGATGAAACTGAAGATTAAATTGCAGTCAATTGAAAATTCTTTTAAAAATGGAACAGGGCTTGAATGAGTTGAGATTGAACTCATCAATCCATAAAATTTTGGACGAGTTACCTCTATTTGAGCTCATTTGCACGTCCCTAAATTTTAAGTTTTGTAATTTTGGAATTATTTTAAAGTTTGCATGCATGTGTGAGTAAGTATTAAATGGTACCAAATCATTATTTTAAAGTTTGCATGCATTATTTTGGGTGTGTCCCACTGGTGATTCTATTTTTGTACTTTTGCCAAGTTTATGGGGAAAACGAGTTTTAGGTTTTGTTTGGTACATTTTTAAATAAAATTTCACATTTGATCCATCATTTTTGTCTTTAAAATTTCACAATATTATTTCAAGATCATTGACTTTTTTTGGTTAGTCCACACCATTATATCTTTATTTATACACAATTTTCTATCAATAATCTCAACAGCCCCATTACGATTGGTTGAAGCAAATATGGTTGTTGATTGAAGTCAAAGAGATTCTTGAAACAGTGTAATCTGTTAAAGGTTTGATCTTGATTACCATTTCATATTTTTTTTGTTGTTAATTCATTTACTTAGAAGTAGATTTTGTCATCTAAATTTACCTTGTTAGTGAGTCACGCTCCTTTTTTGATTGTTGAGGGGGTTCATTTTAGTATCTATACACGTAAAATCAGAAGTCTACCATATATATACAATGTAATTTTCGACAATGGGGTTAGAGTGAACTCCCTAAGATCAACGTAGGTCCATCCCTGGGTCAGTGTCTTTCATTTCAGTAATAGTGTTGATTGTATTATTATTTGTGATTGTTTAGTTTTTGATTCATTTTTAATCTGTTAAAGGTTTGATCTTCATTTGTGATTGTTTAGAGTTTTGAGAATTTTTTTTATTTGCAGTTCGTTATGAAAAAGTGCATGAGCCTCCTATAACCACATCTTTGATTCTATAATTAGACTCTGAGTTAATATTAAAGATTTTATATTCAAGAATCGTTATCATTAAAATAAAATGTTGAGTGATACATAAGAAAGTTTAATGACTTTTCTAAATAATTTTTTTTAGTTCATTGATATTTTAAGATATTAACTCAATTAGTTAGTATGTATGCATGTTTGTCATTGATAATTAATTAATTTTCTTTTTCTCACCTGTTTAGAAATATAATGAACCATTCAAAAGACATCGGAGGAGTACTATTTTTCTGGTAAGATTTTATAATTTATGGTAATACCAGTAAAGAATATCCGAACATTATTCTGGCCCAATAAGGTTTTTTTTGTTATTAAATATAATTTATTATTGAAACAATAGTAAAAGTTGTTATTTATAATATATTTTGCTCATAAATAAAGCTACTAGAGAAATTTATTTGTCATTAATCTAACTTTAAATTTCAATTTCAAATAGCAAAGAAGTGAGGCGATCAGATTGAATGTGTCTCAATAGATCTGCTTAAGATTCATGAGATAATTTCATAAGGAAAATAAGTTTTAGAAAAATAAGTTAAAATATTCAAATTTTATTTAAAATTTTTGTATCTATTAAATTTTTTATGGGAAGTATTTAAAATTCGAAAAAAAATTGTAAGTGAATACTGAAGAATAAAGAGAGAAAATTAGATAAATGACAACAAAATACACTAATGTATATTTGACAGTTATTATTACTTTGTAAAAATGAAGCATATATTTCTAAATCTAAGCAAAAATTAATGAAATAGAAGTAACAAATTATCATTAGTCAAATAATATTTAAAAATATAATTTCATTTTTGTCAAAGAGGCTAAATTAAAAACGTGGGGGGGGGGGGGGGAGGGGTTCCTCTATCTTTTAAAAATACGTTAACAAATTTATACTTATTGAATTAATGTTATGAAACAATATAATTTTAGAAGAAGAAGAAGATAGCAGGGAGAAGAGAAAGATTTCTTATTCATCTTAAAGTATATTCAGAATTCATTGATCTTTCACAAATCTTCTTTATAATGAAGGAAAACTCATTTATTTATAGGGAAAACCTTACTTGGTCCTCAAGTAGGATTCCTAACCATATCCTATAAGGCACATAATTAGACATCATTTTAATACAAATTGTTTATAACAATCCCCTTTGAATGTCGGTAGATTATGTGCCTCGTTAAAACCGTATTAGATAAAACCCAATGGGAAAAAATCTAGTGAAGGAAAAAGAGTACACATATCTAATAATACGCATTATGAAAGCCTCATTAAAAACCTTACAAGGAAAACTTAATGGGACAAAACCTTGTGAGGAAAAAAGAGTATATCGCGTATTAACTCCCCTTTATGAGAACATCAATTCAAAGACTAGAATCTTCGTTTTCCAAGCTTGTGCACCATCTTCTTGAAAGTTGTAGTAGGTAGAGACATGGTGAATAAATCAACTATAGTATTACTTGAACAAACCTCTTACATGTTGATATCACCATCTTGGGAGCTCATTAGTGTAGAAAAACCTTGATGAAATATGATTTCTTCTTTCTGCTTTTATGAATCTTCCCTCAGGATTAAAGATTTCTGCAAGTTCCTTACTTTAACTTCTTTACCTAAATAATCTATTGCCTTTTGAAAACTCTTCAAGAGTTCCAATTCTTGTTATCAACTTGCATAACAATATTTGTATATGCTTCATGCATTTTGAACCGATTTAATCCTTATAAAGTTCTCCAAAAACTTGCACATACTTTAGATTTTGAATCCTTCATGACTTTTCATATTAATTTTGTCAAGTGATAATATCTAATATTAAATGTATTAAATATTCTAGTAACTAGATTGCAAGTCAAAAAAGTTTTAAGCTTACCAAGATGCATCATTCCACTTTTCACTTGATAATTAATCTACATCAGCATCTTTAATAGACGTAAAATTTATATCCTCATAATCTTTTACAATATTGCGCGCTATTGTATTAAAAATATCGTCAGTGACATACCATTTTGTGTCGATTCACAAAATGACAAAACTTATTGAGATCTCATCACTTCATTATTTTTAGGTAGTTACCCCTCTCATGAGGTTTCATAAACTGTTATGTCGTAGGCTCTCCAAGAGCACATTATCTTCTTATTGTGATCATTTTGATTCTTTCATACTTCCCCCTTTTTCAAGGATTATTTTATTAAGAATTGATTAATCTATCATGCTTCATCCATCATAAACTCTATCCTTAAAGGACATTCAATAAGAGTATTTACAACTCTTGTGTTGCTTCTGATATCCCCTTTATGTTGAACTACATTCGCCGGTTCATAGGCCAATCCATTGTAGTATGTGAACACATCTTCAAGTTGTTGAAAGAAGATGCCCTGACCAAGTGGACCGGAGAGTGCCAAACTGCTTTTGATGCTATCAAGAATTATTTATCTATTCTCCTGTGTTAGTTCCTCTGCAATAAGGAAGTCCTTTGTTGTTGTATCTGTCTGTCTCGTATAATGGTTTTGGATGTGTGCTTGGTCAACAGGATGAATCTAGGAAGAAGGAGCGAACAATTTATTACTTCAGCAAGAAATGCACTCCGTATAAGGCTCATTATTCTCTCTCTTGACCTGGATAGCTTAGAAATTGAGACATTATTTGTCTTCTTATACCACATACCTCATTTCCATATTGAACCCGTTGAAGTATATTTTCTAGAAAGCAATACCGACCGGAAAACTGGATAAATGACAAATGCTTTTTGAGGGAGTTTGATATTGTGTATGAGACTTAGAAAATGGTAAAAGCAAAGTCCCTAGCCGATCATCTTGCTGAGTATCCAGTTGATTAGGAGTATGAACCGCTCAAGGATTATTTTCCCGATGAGGAAGTTTCATTTATGGGTGAAAATATTTTTGAAGCATAACTTGGTTGGAGAGTATTCTTTGATGGAGCGGTCTAGTGTCAGAATCTGATCAACAGTATCCTATAGCGGCTAAACTCCAATTTAATTCCACAAACAACATGGCTAAATATGAATCTTCCATTCTTGGTTTGAAAATGGTCATTGACATGAATGTTCACGAGTTGCTGGTTATTAGAGATCCAAATTTGCTGATTTATCAGGTTTAAGGAGAATGGGTTGTGAAGAACTTGAAGATCACACCGTATGAGCAATATATACAGAAGTTGTGTAGAAGATTTTGTAACATTGAATTTAGACACACTCCCATGACACATGTTGAAGCGAAAACAGATGGTTTGCTATGGTATTTTGATATCAAGAAGTATTTACAGACCGGGACTTATCATGAGAATGCAACGTTCAACCAAACAAAGTCGATACGTCGTATCACCCTCAATTTATTTTCGAGTGGGGAAATCCTCTATGAGAGTACTCCAGATCTCGATCTTCTCAAATGCATTGGTGCTAGCGAAGCGGCAAAACTCCATGAACAGATACATGCTGGAGTTTGCGGTACGCACATAAATGGACTCACTCTAGCAAGGAAGATTCTTCGAGCCGGTTATTTTTGGATGACTGCAGAACATGATTGTTGCAAGTTTGTGCAAAAATATCATAAGTGTCAAGTGCATGGTGATTTGATTCGGGTGTCGCCTCACGAACTCAGTGCTATGAGTTCACCTTGGTTGTTCGTAGCTTAGGGCATGGATGTCATTGGTCCTATAGAGCCAGCTTTTTTAATGGACGCATATTCATTTTGGTTGTCATTGAATACTTTACAAAATGTGTGAAAGCAGCCTCCTATAAGTTGGTAACTAAGAAAGTAGTATCTACTTTTGTTCGCAACAATATGATATGTAGATTTGGAATATCAAAATCTGTCATTACTGATAATGGAGCAAAACTCAATAGTCATTTGATGAGAGAGATATATGAACAATTCAAGATTACTCACCGAAACTCAACCGCTTATTGTCCCATATGAATGGAGCAATAGAAGCCGCCAATAAGAACATCAGATGATTTTGAAGAAAATGACTGACAATCACCGAGGATGGCATGATATATTGCCATATGCTTTGTTGGGTTACCGAACGACTGTTAGGTAGTCGATTATAGCAAGTCAATGCTTGTTAGAATACGCAACAGAAGCAGTCATACCTGCCAAAGTTGAGATACCTTCCTTGAGAATCATCCAAGAGGATGAGTTAAATGATGCTGAATGGCTCCACAAGCGGATTGATCAATTAATATTTCTTGACGAGAAGAGAACGATTGTTGTTTGCCATGGTCAATTGTATCGACAAAGTATAATTCGTGCCTTTCACAAGAAAGTAAGGTCTAGGATATTTGAAATTTGTCAGTTAGTTCTCAAACATATTTTTCCTCATTAGGATGAATACAAAGGGAAATTTTCACCAAATTGACAGGGGCATTGTTCGAAAAGTGTTATCCGGAGGTGCCTAGGTCTTGTTGGTGATAGATGTCACCGAATGACCGAAACCAGTCAACTCAGATGCTGTCAAGAGATATTACGTGTGAAGCTTCGATATATATTTTTTCATTTCCTTATAATTGTTTTGTTTGCTAGTAATCATTTTTTCTAGAAATTCGTCCAAATACATGAACTAAGTCTGACCTGAATTCTCAAGAATGAGATACATAAGCAGCCTATGTCGGCGTTGGTCACCCCCTTTATACCTTTTAATATTTTCTTTTGTACTTGAACTACGTTCGGCCTGAATTCTCAACAATGAAATACGTGGGTGACCTATGTCTGCCTTGGTCAGTTCCATAATTCAATTTTTTTTATTTTTGATTAAACCCTCTTGGGGGGGGGGGATTTTTGACGTTATTCCTGCCTCAACGGAATATGTCGGCACCATAACAGTACGGTCATATCTCTTGTAAGATTTCTATTTTTGCTTTACAATAGAAACTGGGACAAAATTTTTGAGAGAAACTCAAAATTTCTCAAGAGGAAGATCTTTCCAACAAAGTCGAGACTGAAATTACTTTGAGATTCGCAACTGGGACAGAGTTTTTGAGAGGATCTCAAAAATTCCGTGGTTTGCTAACCAACATTTCAAATACGCCAAGATAGTTAACTAGGACATAAATTTTAAGGATGATATCAAACTTTTGACACAATTTATCGACAGTTTAGAGCAACTTTGAATACTTCCCAACAAGGAATCATATAGACCTCGAGGCATCAACCTCAAAGACGTTTATTAAGCTTGACGTAACATGACACTTGTCAATGATCTTTTCTAAATACTATTTTTTTAAAAATCTATTTTTCTTAAAATTTTCCTCCGTATTTCAATTATTTTGCATTAAAATATTTATAGGCGGGAGATCGAAGAAATCAATTGGAGATAGCAGGACAAGGAGCATATAACAGAAGAGTTCGACACAGATCAATTCATTTTAAACTATCATTTTTCTGTGGATGCAGGTCTATACGTTTACCTCAGAATCAACGTATTCATCCATCCAATGAATATGGAGAGGTCAAATACAACTACAAAAGGGCACTTTAGAGGCAACAAAATGTGTATTTAACAATGACAAAAAAGTATGGAATTAGTACAAACACTTGTACTAAGTATGACATTATGCATAAAATCATGAAAACAGACATTTATTTGAAAAATATGCATCTTTTCCTTTTAAATATCATGTCATAATCATAAGAATAACATTTAACACCTTAGAAACTCATAAGATAACATTTGAGCAATTTAATACATTTTTAAAGTCATTTTACGGTGAACTACTTCACTGTTACAATGTACTTCTTCACTGTTACAGTGAACTTTCTAAACTTCATTTTACACACTCACACATGTAAACCCCTCACTAAAAGCTATCCTAAGATTCACTTAAGACAAAGATATACCGTCCATACAACCTCTCTAGGAACACCTAAATGATCCTTAAGACCACCTATAATGAGACCAAACACACACTTACAATACATCAAGCACATGAACATGAGATCCTCCAACCAAAGGTGATTCTAAGTCTCACTTGAGTGAGTTGTGAAGCGACCACCCATACAATCCCTTACACACACACACTTAAGAGATCCTATATACTACCTAAGATAGAATCATTCTCACTTAATACATCAACACATAGATAATATGGCATTTTCCTTCCAAAGGCTATCAAAAGACTTACTCAAGTAAATCATGAAGATAACGTCCGTGATTGACCTTTTCAAGATTACCTAAATAATCCTTAAGACTAGCTAAGGCTTAGGTCATGTCCACATAATCAACCATATTCCCTAACTAGAGTCATTCTTAAGACTTATCTATGTAAGATATGAAGTGACCATTCCTATGCCCCCTTCACACCTTAACTAGACAACCCTTAACTACTCTAGATAAGTACTTATTCATTTAACATGCTTTCTTAACTTAAATCATTACATTCATTAGTTCATTTAAGACTTATTCATCACATAAGGACATTCAAGTAATGGTCTTGGAGAAGACGTAGGGACTCTTACTAACACCTTCAAAGCCTATTGTGCAATGTCTAGATAGCGTCCCACAGCATCACCTAAACTTCATAGAACTTCTAATGCTAGTAGGTATCCCACATGATGAGAACAGACAATAACTGACATAGACCATGATAGCTAGACATGGAATCAGAGTTCTAACCTACTCTGATGAGAGTGATCTACTTGCCAAGGGTAAAACTAAGGCACATCCCATGTAAGCACATGGTTAAGAAATGTGAAGGGTTTTTATGCACTCTATTTTCATTCTCAAGTAGAGTTACATTGTACTCTAGTCTCCTTCTCAAATAGAGCTACATCCCATAGTATAATCACTTGGTGCTAGCCTTCATTCTCACAGAGTAACTGACACTAAAGGATTATATGAAGAGGTTTCATATCTAGTTCATAACCCAATCACATTCACCCTAACAAAGAGGTCCACTAAGGCTACCTTAAATTGGCGACATAGATAGATCATTATGAATTTCCTAAAGATGATATGATGCAGTTCCATCTAATCAACCCTAAGTCCATCCTCCTTTACATGAAGGATACCATTATGACTCTCGACTTCCAATAACATAACCTTACCACTAGTAAGGTTTCACGCACATGACCTTCTTAATATCAATTAAGGTCTCACATATACATCATTTATAGATGACAAGGGTGCACTATGCCTACCTAGTCAAGACATATCGTATTCACATATCATTCATACATGTATCAAGTAAGGGACACAAGTCTATCAAAACAAGACACAACATTCTTTACTTTATCACATATAACCTATCATTCTTTGAAGCACTTAGGAATGACCCTTATCATCTTTATGTCATCCTATACATTATCATATCATCATCAATATAACCATCACAACTCATATGGTTAAGTAGAGACAATTATGCATCAACATCTAAGACTACACATATAAGCACATAGTCATAGTCTAACATGATCTCCAAACATACTTAGAAGGAACACATACATTCACTTAATCACATGTAAAGATATGCTCACACATAACATAAATAAACTGCACAAATAGTCATAATACTTCAAGTAGTTGCCGACAAGGCCATGATCATCATAGTACATAAAGTAACACCGACAAGGGCACATCAATTCACATAGCACCGCCACCATAAGTGAGTCATACCAATCATAAAATAATTGAATTCTAAATAACATACAATAAAGAGAATTAGGGCAGCGTACCACCAATCCATTTTCTCTACTTCACTCCATGTCTAAATCATCCAATTCAATATCATAAGACCCTTACCCATGGCCATAACTATAATTCAATGCAATTATAACAATACTCAATGAATATAGGTCAATTCAATATAGATTTATCAGTCTAATACCAATTAGACATCGATTGATTACAATTCTTACATCATTCAATAGCCCATAGAAAACTACACCAGAAAAAACTAGGGTTCATCAATTACATGGGTTCGTAGGTTAATTTAGTTAAAATCATACAATTAACAAAAAATTAATCAATATACAATGTTTTAAAACCTTTAATGCAAGAACCCATGGATAGATCATGAAATTAGACAATTTATCTTTGAACAATTTAGAGAACTTCTTTGCAAGTTGGGCTGGTTGATGAATAGAGTTTAAAGGATCAAAAACCACACCTAAATAAATATAATCCTCCAATTTTATGATGAATCTCCACTCAAACCTCCAATCCAATCCCTTCCATGAGTTTTGGCTCCAATGGAGTTCTAGAGAACTTCTAAAGGAATTTGGGTTTTGATTTTGAAGAATGAAATCTTCTAACTTTTAAAGGATTAAAACATGTTTAAAATACCCAAAAAACCCTTTAGTAACTGCCCAAAGTCTTATTTGGAAATGGAATGAATTTATCAATTCACCCCTTCACTTAACAGTGAAGCAGGCCAATTGCAGACCCATCCACGACTTGGCCACAGGCGGACCGTTTGTCCACAAACGGACTGTCTTGTTGGCCGTTGGTTGGGACTGAACTTTGGAAATAAGATATTAAGATCTCTAGGCTAATTACCCATCTAATCCACCACCTATGGGGCGTCGACTAGGACACTGGCCATCGTTTGCCATCCGTAGGTGGGACTGCCTTGGGCAGTTTCGACCACCAACATGGGTCCTTCCTCAAGGACCCTTGGATCGTCCTCGGGGATGTTTTCCCAGAAATTTCCTACATAAATATGATTTATAAGATTTTAGGACCTCCCACATGAATTTCATTCAAAAAGAACACGTAAAATTTAAAAAAACATGCATAGACACACAAGGTCGTTTCAAGGCAAACCTTTTGAACATCATGAACGTTCTTGGACGTTTGACCTCCAAACTTCATGAAACTTGACACACTGACTATAAACACTATAATAACTCATATAATGATCTCATTAACTCATGAAACACAAAATTAAGCACATAACAACATATGAGGCACATAGGTGACTTACTCATCGAACGCCTTGGTCGTCCCTTGACGTTTCACTTTCAAATCACCTAAAAATCTAGACACTGTATCAATACCACTTTATAGACCAATTTAGGATCTTAGACCATCATGAAAACCATGTTAGGCTCTAGATTCACCTAAGTTATTTTTAAGGTATTACAATTAGCTTCTTCCTTAACATTTTGAACGCCTCCAAGCACTTCTTATCAAACACAAATTTTGATCTCTTCCTTTAATGAATTGCACATGAACTTGCAGTTTTACAGAAGTCCTTGCTGAACCTCTTGTACAAGCCGCCATGGCCAAGAAAGCTTCGCAATCCTTTCACAGATATTGGGGGTGTTGACTTCTCAGTCAATTCTACTTTTATTTTATCCACCTTCAGCCCACTCTTGGATACCTTGTGACCCAAGACAATTCCTTCTCACACCAAGAAGTGGCATTTCTCCCAATTCAACACCAAATTTTTTTCCTCACATCTTGCAAGGACTATCAAGATTGATTTAACATAACTCAAAAGACTCACCAAAGACCGAGAAGTCATCCATAAATACTTCTACAAAATCTTCTACCATATCATGGAAGATTGCCATCATGCATCTCTGAAAAGTAGATGGGGCATTGCACAAACCAAATGGCATGTGTTTGAATGAATATGTGTCATATGGACATGTGAATGTCGTCTTCTCATGATCTTGGGGTGGAATAACAATCTAATTATACCCAGAATACCCATCAAGAAAACAGTAATACTCTTGGCTAGCCAGCTTATGCAACATATGATCAATGAAGGGTACCAAATAATGGTCATTCTGGTGGCTTCATTAAGTTTCCTATAATCCATTCATATCCTCCACCCAGTCACTATTCTTGAGGGGATCAATTCATTCTTATCATTTGTCACCACTATCATTCCACCCTATGTGGGCACACACTGCACTGCATTTACTTATTTTCTGACCACATCCTTCATTAAAGGATTTAGTCTCTAATGATGTTGTTCACTTGCCTTGTACCCTTCCTATATGTATATTGTGCATACACAAAGCTGGGCTTATACCATGAATGTCTGACATTTGCCAACCTAACGCTGCTTTCCTCTTCTTGAGAATCAATAATGTTGCTTCCACCTGTTAATCAGATAATGTTGCAGACAAAATAGCTGGTAAAGTGTTATGTTTACCTAAAAATGCATCTCTATAAATGTCATCACCTCTCAACACTCTCTCTAGAGGGTCCTTAGCTGCTATTTACATAGCTTCTGCCTCAAGATCTATCATAGTAATGACAGACAACTCCTCATAAACAGGTGGCATCTTAAATGCTTTATATACGTCAAAACCTCTAGTTTATCATGGGATCTCATAGTGAGTTACCAACTTCCATATATATCATCGCTCTCCCAGTTTCTAAGAAAGGTTGCCATAAGACGAATGGAGCCTCAAGATCAGGCTCAATATGTATTTTTTATTTAAGAAAGAAACAAAGGAACAATTGTACCGTACACCCTATTATTATTCCATTATAGAGGATAGTTAACGGACAATATGCTTATCCATAATTAAAAGTAAATCTAACTAACAAGCTCATAGATGAATGCACACATATAACTCCATTTCCATGATATCTTCAACTACAGTTTCAACAAAAGAAAAAAAAAGAAC